AAAGGGGCTGCAGGGAACCCGACGTGTGCAGGGGTGCAGTGCATGCTGCCCTCCCGTCACTGGTCATCACTAATAGATGTGTCAACAGATGGGTTTTCTAATACTACATCTTGCAATGGAAACGGTGTCTGTTACATTCCCCTTACCTATCAGACCCCATCCTACAGCATAAGTTTACAGAAACCTCCTTGCTTCTGAGATCATTCTTCGGCATCACTGGGCTTCCAGTTGAAGGGTGAGGTGAAAGCACATGCAAACACTGGAGTAGAGACCAAATGCTTTTAAACTTTATTGGTTTAGACACATAGTCTGAAAAAATACTATGCATTCCCAATTGTCAATTCATATTAAACAAGCATATACATTTGGTTACATTATTATTGATTTAAAATAAAAAAAGGAAACCATTACAGAAAGACTGCTGCATCTTCAGAGAACTTTGCAACAATTTGCTTTTGTAGGAGATTGCTAAAATCCATCTCGGGCCCCAATATTCCTTTGGTTGTTTCATCTTGAGTGTTATTTTAATTACCAACACGTTTGGTGTAGGCACTCGTTCTGCACACCGATGGCGAGGCCGACGTGCTGGAGTGACAACGGGGTTTAGAAAAGAGCTTTCGTTGTACCTCAGTCCATGAGAAAATCTAAAGAGAGGTTTTGAGAAGTGTGACAACTGAATTCTTTACAGAAGCCGCCATTGATGACTTGCTGATATTCATGCTAACACACCAAAACCAAAAAAATCCTTAGTTACAGTTAAGATTGGGGTGGTTTTTTTTACACAAATGGAAATGTTCTATTTTAACCCCTTCACTTCCAGTTGAAAATAGAACAGGCAACACTTAGGAAAACGCCTCGTTTGTTTGCTGCTTGTACTTGGCTAAAATACATACCAAAAAGCTGAAATGAAGGGCTTAAAGGGGCTCTAGATGCCTCAGAAAACATTTTATTTTGGAACAATTCCAGGGATCTAAACCTTTTTTCCTCCCAGACTGCAAGCATCCAGATTTCTCCTCCGAAAAGCGCAGCCTCGGCGTCAGCATTGAACAGGAGCAAAAGTGGAGCAGAAACCACTGAATGTGCAAAGTACTGAAGAATGTTAATGCCAAGAAGAAACAAAGATCTAATTCCTCTATTCTCTTTTGTTTTCCCACAGACAAAACCAAAGTGAGCTAAAGATACAAAAAGTACACAGATAGAATTGCCTCTAAATAAAATGCTTTTCCCACTTTTCTGTAAGGCATCAAGAGGTCTTTAAGTAATCTGTTACCATGCAAAAATAGTATATTCTTTCCCAGTTTACATTCATCTTGTAGCAGTTTATTTACATATAGATCACCAGTTTGTGCTTGTAACACATGGAAAATAAAAAATATATTAAAAAAAAGTCTAAGTTATTTTGTTTCATTCCAGAAGATTAAGTCAGGTTCTTTTCTGTTATATGTAAAATGAAGATTAGAAATTAACTTTGGAATTAGTTATCTTGAGGAATAAAACCCAACTGGTTATTGGATAGCCCTGGGGATTTCTCCTTGGTGGTCACAAGAAGTATTCCAGTTAACAAGAGCTCAATGCAACATAAATATTCCTGGAATTTGGGGAGAAGCATGTTTGTGCCTAGCTCATGCGTTACACCTGTTTTCTCTTCAAGTTTTAATCTCTTACGTCATCGTTATGATTATAGCAAGAAAAAGTGGCCTGCAGAGGAAAATCTGATTGCACAAGACGTATTAAAGAGAGCTTTTAGTTGATTTGTACGAATTCTGAAAGTATTCACGCTTTTTGGTGTGACAACACAAGTACTCCCAAATTTCGCATCATCCCCAGTGTGGCCAAGTCTTTATTTTTGCTTTATTATTCTTTAGGTGTCCCTATGTTTGGCTCTGGTGCATCTGACATTTTGCATCAAGTACCAAAAGAGGAATACAGATCTATTTATTCAGCATTATAGATGTGAAAGTATCAGCCATCTAAGCTGTCAATAAACTCACTGGGATCTTCTATACTTATAGAAGTCAGAGTTGAGTTGCCTAGAAAAGCCTGGTAAACCGAAATCATATTGGGAGAAAAGGAAGTCAAAATAATGTGGTAGAAAAAGGTCAGTGGGAAATAGCTCTTCTCTCTTCTGTACTTATTTAGATGACTTTTAAATTGTAATTATTTTCTAAAGTGTGTCACATTAAAGCAGACAGGAAATCGAACTGAAGCTGGTTCTTCGTCACTTTGAAGCATGCATAATGACTGTCTTTTTGGCTGATACAAAAAGGAGATGAGCTAGATTCCGCAGAAATGAAAAGCCCTTATGACTTGACCCAAAGAGCCAGATTTCACACAGTAATTCCTTCCCTCTGTAGACGTGGCAGATGCAAATTCCCCGGGGATGCTCTTGCTGTGCGCGCTGGTGAAGAGCGAACGGACAATCGCATCAGATCACTGTGACGGAATTTCTTACTTGCTTTGGACTGATATGAATCACTGCCCTGGAATCCAGTGAGGAATCGGGCACAAAGAGGAATTCAGACAAATAAATACTTCCAGATCTGATAAATGGCTCTGTTCTTTATATGAGTGATTATGCTAGCTGATATGCTTCCTTTGGATCATTTCGTTAGGAAATTACTGCAATAAATCAGTCGTTGGGTAACACCAACTCATTAATCCAATGTATTTCATTTTGAAGCATGCGGTGGTATTGCAGAGGGAAAGTAAGAGATCATTTAGACTGAAAATTTAAACTTTGGGCTTCCAAAGTGGATTCCAGTTTAAGAGAGAAAATACGTGTGCTTTCACTGTCCTAGCAAAGCAGCTCTGGCAGGCACAGCTCCATGCTAGTACGCACTGGTGCAACGAACAGCAGCTATTCAAATCCACAGTTACATTTAGGACCCTGTTTAGCAGAAGGAAGCCACCAGAAGTCCAAGCATTCAAGAGACTTGACGTTGCAGTTTTCTCGTCGTTTTGTATCGTGCTTTCTGTCAGGAGAGGACTCCAGTCTGATTCCTGTTCCACAGGAGACCTACCCTCTTCCAGTGGCTGCCACTACCCCGCAAAATCTAGTAACATTTCATCCCAAAAACATGCTGTTTGTTCCATAGAGGTCGCTGGAAGTGATGACAGTGGGAACTGAGGCTCCCGTGTGTCTGAACGTAGAGGTGTTTTCTTCGCAGGCCTTTCTGCAGCCACATCCAGTGATGCACCATACCGTGCCACCGTCCAACACCCAACACAGCCTTTTTTGCCCATCATGCAAAATCTAGTAACATTTCATCCCAAAAACATGCTGTTTGTTCCATAGAGGTCGCTGGAAGTGATGACAGTGGGAACTGAGGCTCCCGTGTGTCTGAACGTAGAGGTGTTTTCTTCGCAGGCCTTTCTGCAGCCACATCCAGTGATGCACCATACCGTGCCACCGTCCAACACCCAACACAGCCTTTTTTGCCCATCATCAGGGGCCTTCTGGAGCTACATCTCTTCCCTTCTCTGATTAAGAGAAGGACGTCTTCTCCCAGCCCAATTTGTTCCGCTAAGTCCCATTCAGAATCATAGAATGGTTTGTGTTGGAAGGGACCTTAAAAGCTCCTCCAGTTCCAGCCTCCTGCCCCGGGCAGGGACACCTTCCACTAGAGCAGGTTGCTCCAAGCCCCTGTGTCCAACCTGGCCTTGAACACTGCCAGGGATGGGGCAGCCACAGCTCCTCTGGGCAACCTGAATCACAGCTTGTACCTTGTGCTCCATTCCTTTAGCACTGTTTCTGAAAGGGAGTTAGTCCAACTGGACTACACAGTATTAGCAGCATGTAAAGTAATAAATTAGGGGTGAAGATTAGGGTTAATGTGAGCTCCCACAAAAAGCTGCCACAGAACCAGTGGTGCTTTTGTAACCTCAGCTGGAGTAGCTCAGATGTCTGTGAGTGTTCCAAACTGAAGGAGGCCCTAATGCAAGATCACCATGCCATGTATACATTGAGTTCAGATGAAAAGAATGGAATAGGGAATTGCATTGTATTGCTTCCCAACCCATTCTTGTAAGATCAAGGTAATATTAATCCGTTAGATGTAAATAGTAATAGTTCTTTAAAGTACAAACAGTGGGAGATTTGTTCCTATTTGTGTTCTGGTTGCTAGTTAGGTCATTAATGATTAAATCAAATCAATGTATTTTATGTCCTGGAAAATACACATACTATCACTCAATATATAAACCAATATCCAGCTTGAAATTCCAGATCAGGGAAAACAAACTTTCACCATCAATCACCGATTGTTTGAGGTAGACCACATTATTGAATTATCCATGATTTTAGTTTCTAATGCATTAGGTTATGTACAATCAAATATCAACAGACATACCTGAAATTTTCCTTACTTTAATTAGAAATGTTTGTAGCTATTAATAAGCTACATTTCCTTAATTTACTTGGTCATAGATTGGAATCTCTGTATCTTTTGTGGCAATTTAGCATCATTCTTAGTAGTACCCTATTGTGTACATAGAGTAAAAAATAAACTGTATCAAACCTGATGGAAAAAAAGAAGGAAAGATGTGGTTAGTGGTGAAATCCTAGAACAATGGAAGGCTCAAATGTAAGATTCGGATGCTTATCCATTTCAGCTGTGTCATTCTGGCTCTGTACTTTTGAGGATTATTCTAATATTGCTATGAAGTCCGTTATTCAGAAGGTTCTTCCCAGGATTTCAGATGGACACACTTGAATATAGCTCTTCTATTTGTTTTTTGAAGTAATCTCGTAGTTCTGGTCTCTTGGCCTTTAACGTTGGTGTCAACAAACCGTTTTGTACTGAGAACATATCAGAGTGAATGTAAATGGCTTTGACCTGTAGCAAAAGAGGGATATATTTACAGCAAAACTGACAGGTATCACACTGAATAAGCCTAATTCCTTGTTATGGTCTTGCTGCCATAACCTCTGGCTGTGCCCAGGGGATCCAGGATTTCCCTCACCTGCCCAAGTTTCCTGAGGTTCCACTAAATCCCTCCACCACCCCTCCCTGCTCCCTGCTTGTTTTCCTGTGCCCACACTGCCAGCACAGAAAGGAGCTCTTTTGGTCTTGCAAAATTATCATGAAGCTTTGTAGGCACAAAGAGCGCACATGGCGATGATCATCTTTAAAGATGGTCTTTTATTAGCTAATTAAAATGATATTAAATCATTCAGCCCAGACTAATGGGGTTTTCTAGGCTGCCCTGGTTGGCGGGGGGGTCTCTGAGCACTGCAGGGAGCCTGGCAGTGAGGAGTGGGGAAGCAGAAAAGGGCTGCGTGACTGGCCACAGTCACCAATGGAAGAGGATTCCCCAGCCATCTGCTGCTCTCCTGATTCCACAAGCCAGGCTGGTTTGCATTTTGGTCAGCTGGGAGTTGCAGGAATATAGACTAAGGATCGGTTCTTAAACTCCTCTTAGATACGTGACTCATTTTTCCCCTGAAAGCACTGTGGTCGCATTCCCTGCCCAGTGATGTACTTCACAAAACCAGTGTTGGGGCTGTTAAAGCTGCACTGGCTGTTGGGTTCCAGAACCCAGAGCTCTCACTGCCAAGTTGGAGGTCAGGCTCAGGCCACTGACACTGCCGACAGGGACAGGGATGATAAAGAATCCCTTTTCCATATAAAGGGGATCCGGTCCCACATGAACACGAACTCCAGTATCTGGCTCAAATGTTGGTTTTCAGACTACATATTGCAACAGAGATTGAATGTTGAAGCCCTTTAGTTTTGAAATGTGAAACACTTATTTTTTAGAAAGGTGGCAAGGCTTTCCTCTCTGCTTTATAGTTTATCAATGGCAGACTCCTGGTACAATAGATTATTTGAGGACATTTCATACCATGAGACCATGGGAGGCACAAATCAGACTTATTACCACAAACAACTCTGTGCATTACAAACCATGCTTTATACTGACTCTTTAAATTCATTTCTTTTTACTATCATTTGATTGGCATATGAACTGAAGAATAACAAGTTTATGTTTAGTGGTGTTTCTGCTGCGATATGGCGAATTGCCCATCAGTTACCACCCAGAAACAGTCTCAACAAAAGCAAAATTCTATGCTAATTCTATGTAACCATTAAGATGTTCATTATTTTAACAGAAAGAAGCACTTGACATTTTAAAACGTGGTGGGTTATTTTTTTTTTACTGTGTTTTTAATGCTGTGTAAACTGTGGCTGATTTCTCACCTCTCCTCCTGAAGTGTTTGTAGCTCTGCTGCAACAATATTTACACAAGCACCAGAAAAGAATGAGTGCTCAGGCTGAAAATAAATAAACCAGCAGCATTTCCTAGGTCAGTTATAAGAAGGGTAATTAGTGACCCAGTTTCTCATCACTGCTTTCAGTGGCAGAAGAATCAGAGTCCTGCACATATTTATCTTGACCCCTGGTTGTCAGACTGGAGATTATGTCCCTGGATTAGGTTTTTACTTCTACACCTAAAACTTGCACTACATTCAATTCAAATTTCAAGGGACTTGCTAGCAATAGATCTCTCCTTCCAAAAACACTGGGTGCAGCTGCAACAAGGATATGGAGTAACGTAGCCAGTGCTTACAAATCCCCATTCAATACAAATGGACAAATCACTTGAACACACTGAATAATGGATTAACTGTTTCGTTTTACCTGCTCAAAGGAATGAAGTCCACTCTCCTTACCCAACCGTACCATGTCTTCCATTATCGCTTGCTGCAGCGCCTGGGTTAAAGCACAGGAATTCCTCATGAAATGTCAGCACCAACCTTACATTCAATTCATGTCATTGTTCATCAAGCAGACATGTTTCTGAGTGAAGGTCAAGTGCCTGACTGATAGTCAACACACAACTAGCAAACATTCTATTAAAGAAATACACAAACGTTTGTGCGGTGCGATGATGTTAACTGCTTCCTCAGAATGAAGAGTAAGGTTATGTTTTATGTGCAGACAGACAGAAAGACAAACCTTATTTTTACAGAGTTCTGCATAAGTTCCCTCAAACCCTCTTTTCTTTGCCCAGCCTGGCATAACTTCGGAATCAGGCACCACAATTCCCACCAGAAAGGCCTGGAGGTGGAAGAGAAGGAGAGTTGCAGGCAAGAGCTGAACAATATTTAAGGCCCTACATTGACATGAATACATAAGCCAGGTGAATTTGCTGTGTTTATCACCTCTTGTGTAATTATGTCAATGATTTACTAACTCGTCATCATTAATTATACTTGGGTGTCTGTGGCTTTTCTTCAGATAAAATAGTTACCTGTGGTGGTATCATTTATACACGTTCAGTTCATAGGCCTGGGAGACTCAGGGAAACTCCTGTGCCAAGGGAACATCATGCTTGTGGGCAATGGACACGGAGGGATGAATCACGATGGTTGCAGAAGCTGCACACGTTTGTATAAATATCCAAAGAAATGGGACAAGACTGGCCAAAATGTGCAGGCAGCGGTCATGGAGCAGCAGTGGCTTTGCCTTCACTTGGCTTACCGCAGCAAGGTGGCAAAGGAAAGCATTAGGGTGCCACTGAAGCAAATTTAAAGGCTTGATCTTCAGCCACAGCATCCTCCAAGCTGCTTATGCTCCCATGTGGCTGGCAGCCAGCTCCACAGCAGGAGGGAGGCACCAGGGTGAAAACCTGACGTGATCCACTCACGCTTTCCCCTTGCTCACACCCAGCTCTCTGCCTTCTACTAACACAGAGCAAAGTAAGACTTTGTGAAAGGTTCGTTTTTACCTGCAGGCTGTCTCCATGGACATAGATCTGGGCAACAGGGTCACTGCGGATATAGATATTCTCGATCTTCTCCGGTGCAATATATTCTCCCTGAGCAAGTTTAAATATATGCTTTTTCCGATCAATAATTTTAAGAGTCCCGTTCTGTTAGGAGAAAGAAATGAGAAGTTCTTTAATCACAGAGACTCACCAAGCTGGTTTTAACAGAGCTCTACATTGCCAGAAAATGCTTCGCTGCTATTTCAAACCTATTCTGTAAAATATAAACCGAGTCCTCTGTAAAGGCAGATCTGCTTGGAAATGTAAGTGGAGTACTTGGAAATTTAAATAGGATAATACAACTGACATAAGAACTAAGCCTCTGATCAGCACGCACAGGTAACCATTTCCCAATGTCTCCCGTGTGAAGCCAGCCCTCCTGGTCCAGCGCCTCCGTTGTCTTCTCTTCATCCTTCAGATAACCTTTGAAAACATTTGGCCCTTTCACACATATCTGCAAAAAACAGAGTTGCAGAGAAATTGTTTTATTATTCCACTGTAAATTACTAACAAGCTAAATAGTAATTCACTAAAATTGAAATGTTTTAAAGGTTGAGTTAATGACTGTGCTCCATGAAATTAAATGCACTGTTATAAAATTAACTGTGAAATATGAAGTAGGGATTGCAAAACTGATTTGCTCGAAGTTGATTTGCACTCAGCTTGCAGCTAAAAACACCCCAACGTTATTTCAGTAAGTGTAATTTATGTGCAATACAGAAATAACAGCAGTGTGGAAATCACAGCATTCAGCTTTTCTTAGCTGAACTAATTAATTCAGTCCTAGCTGTTGAAGGAATGAGGCAGGTCGCTGGCTGGAAGTACTGCCACAGCCCCTCTGTAATTAATGCTTTGCTGTTCTGCTGCTGAACTGATGTTTTCTTTTCCTGATTGCAATATATAACATATCAGCAAGAGCGCACCTTACAGAGGTAAAATGCTTCTGTAACTACATAAGTACTTAACACAATGTTAACTAGCAAGGATTTGATATAAAAACGTGATTTGCTACCTCTCCTTCTCCTTTGGAAGCAAAATAATTCAGCTCTTCCACATCCTTCAATTTGATTAAGTTACAGGGCAAAGGAGCTCCTACATGACCTGGAAATCAAAGTTATCAAGTCACTTGTCATCAGTCCTAGGAACAATAAATACCAGTTCATTATCAGTTGCATGCATAGTTGTAGACACACTGGATATTCTTGCAGGAAACATATCTTCATGCAGCCATAAGTTCCTAGTTAAGGTTTTGTGTTCTTAAGACTAAATACCTGAACGTCCTCTTTGGATATAAACCCTGTTTTCAAACATACTGAAATACAAACCATGTCTCCATTACCCGTAAGAGACTATCCCTTTTTTAAGCTTAATTCCTTATAAAAGCACACAAAGCTCTGGACTCTCATCATTTTAGGAAAAAATTTAAGGAAGAAGCTCCAACACAAACCACTCTGTGATTCTAGGATTATCTGAATCGTGCCCAGTGCTGATTTTTATCTGATTTTGTCAAGACCGAAAAGCTTTGAAAGCCTGAAATATGTAAGTATTGAGCAGTGGCGGATCTGTATTGAAAGCCTGGCTTTGCTCACTAAGCCCATGAATGTGTCCATCTTTTCTTTGTTCCAGCATTTCATTCTAACAAACATTCATTTAAATTCACCTCCAGTGCTCTAGAAAGGACTCACAGCACCGGTAGTGCAGAGATAAGAGTCTCACAAATAACACCTCCAGCGACAGTTCCAAACCTCCCCAGGCAAACGTGCCCCAGCACCTGATCCCTGTGCATTTATTCTGGTCTGATGACAGTTTCAGGAACATGATGTTTGCTGAAGATCAGTCACACAGTGGTGAACGCCACATAACGCCCTGTGATGTTAAAGTCCTGAATTTCCTAAAGAAATCTTCTCTTTTCCATCTGGAAATGATGGAAGAAAATCATTACCTGATGTCCAGTCACCTGGCGTTGTAAAGGTGCACCCGGCTGTGCATTCTGTTTGGCCATAACCTTCATAAACCTGGCAAAGAAACAGGAATCTTGATAACAGCTCAGAGGATTTCACTAACACACGGTAGAAGTCTAAGCATTGCCTTCTGCTGCACAGCCCTGCAGCTGCGCTGACAGGAGCACATTTTACATGGGACACTTTCCCTGGCTCTTTCCATACCCAACATTTCACTGACACGACTACGAGTTACCCTGGCTCTGTAGAGCTGCAATAGTGAGAAGACAAGTTCAGCACTTAGCTTTTGAGCCAAGTGTATTACTCTATGAGAGGAATTTATTAGTGGGGAGCAAAAAGGTATTTTTGCAGGATGGTTTGAAAATACTCCTTTTACACTTTTTTTTGGCCTAATTTTAGGCTCTTCAATGAGGCCTTTTAGTTGCCCTGGACTTTGTGTCAAAGAAAAATAATATAGAGGACAGCTTAAGTGGGTTAAATTGCCCTCTGCAGATAATCTTTCTCCATTTATATATAGAATAAAGCTCACGTAACGAAGTGCTGAGCACGTGCACAAGTATATTTAATTGCACATACTCAATTAAGTGCTGAGAGCGGCTGGGATGAGTCCATGCTCTTTACTGGCAGCTGCCTGCAGCACAAGCAGCTCTTGTGTGCTTCTCACTTCCAGGGCCACCAAGAAGGGTCCCTGCCCCAGCCCTGGGGCTGTGGGAACAGAGCTCCGGGGACATGCTGCTCTTGGACCAGTCCTGATAAAGCTGCCCTAAACACAGCACTGAGGTTCTAACCCCTCTCCTTTCTTAAACGCAGTGTATTTCCCAGCTTGAGGGAACGCATCCGAGCAGCCTCATGAGCCCACCTGACACCCGAGGGCTGCACGGAGGAAGCCCAGGACAGTTGGAGATGCAGGAGCAGCACCCGTGACGATCATTCGGACGCACCCGCCGAGACTTGCCTGTTCGGTAGCAGGAGAAAAGGGAAGAAAGCATCACAAGTTACTACAGGTGGCAAAACCAGCAGCACCCGTGAGTACTGCTCGTGCAGCGCTCGCACAGACGCTGTCTCTAGAATAGAGGCAGGGAATACCTTAAGGTCCTTTCCAACCCTCACTCTCCTATGATCCTATGAACAGGAACCAGCTCTGAATCTTTCCTTAGCGATAAATACAGCTCATTCTTAAAAGAAAGAACTCTCCTCCTTGCAGGTAGACAGAGTGCCTAAAAAATCAACCATTCAACATACGGAGATGAGAGTCCCCCGTCTCTGTCAGGGTGAGCAACATCTGCCTCTGGGGAACTGCAGGGTACAAACCAGACCCTTCCCCTCCAGTGCTATTTGCACCTCATCAATTTTAATGAATTGGCTCCCAATTCATTAAGCCATCTAAAATAACATCGTCCCTTTCTTCAAGCAGATGACCTTCAAACATTTCTGGAGGGTGTTACATCAACTCATGTGTCACATTTTACTTCCTTCTCCCCCCTTCATTTCCTTTTTCTTGTTCTAAAAGAAGAAAGCCCAGCACAAAAGAAAACAAGGGACTGAGCCTGCCAGTCTCGCCAGAGCCCGAATCAATATGCAGCCCGGCTTGCCTCGTGTCTGCGCGCCCGGCAGCACCACGTGAACTCTGCTCTTTGCACGCTGAGGACAACTAATCCGCAGGCGAAAAGTACAGTCAGTTTCTTTAGTTAAAAATAAAGTGGCATGTCTCCAGGATAAGTGATCCGATTAAAAAATGGAGTAATCAGAGCCTCCCGGAGCAGGACAGAGCCCAAACCCCCGCGTTAAAGCCAATTTAATCTTTTTTCACTGAGGAGATGCATGGCACACAGCAGGGCATTTGCTTTTATTTCCCTTATTGTTCAGCTGTGATTTACAAGTGCAGTTTTCTCTACGCTCTTTTCTTGTTTTCCTGGGGAAAAAAGCAGTTTTGAATTTTTATCTGAGAGGGGCTTTGGACAAGGGATGGAGGGACAGGCTAAGGGGAATGGCTTGAACCTGCCAGAGGGGAGATTGAGATGAGCTCTGAGGCAGAAGCTCTTCCCTGGGAGGGTGCTGAGGCGCTGGCACAGGGTGCCCAGAGAAGCTGTGGCTGCCCCATCCCTGGCAGTGTTCAAGGCCAGGTTGGACACAGGGGCTTGGAGCAACCTGACATAGTGGAAGGTGTCCCTGCCCGGGGCAGGGGTTGGAGCTGTAGGAGCTTTAAGGTCCCTTCAACCCAAACCAGGCTGGGATTCTATGATCCCGTGAATATGCCCAGTTGAACTCAACCCTAAATCCAGTCATATCTGTAGAGAATTTGCAAAGAACTTTGGAACAACATCTCATTGATTAGATACTCATCTTTCCATGCCCACCTTCCCGAATTTTATCCCCAGTAGGAGGAGACAGGGATAAGTTTGCTGCAAATTTTGGCATCTTATGCATGGTGTTGAAAAACAAATACAAAAATAAAAATAAACATGGCAGGAGTTAATGCAGAAGTCAGTGGAACAAGAAACTGCTCCATTTCCTTCACCTATTCAGTTTTCAGCCTGCTGTTCACCAGTGAGTACAACTGCCCACATCATGAGGCAAGCAGACCACTTCGACTTCAATGAACACCAGTCACTGCTAGAAGAAAAGAGAGTTCTTTGCCCTTAGCCTCACTTCTTGCACAGTTTACCTGTATTTTATTGAAGAACAGTTTGTCCCACAAGCTGTCATTTCTAATGATCCCGTTTCGAACTTCAGCCTTTTTCCTTCTTGCAGCAAACTCCAGAACCCAGCGCTTGAGGGACGTGTCTGCCTGGCTGAAGATCTGCAGCACAGAGAGAGAACATCAATACTGCCCTGACCATCACAGCGCCCAGCTCTGCAGGGGCCAGGTAGTCACCACAGTGGCATTAGTGGTGCAGTTAAATGAGGTTACACCAGGGCTTTGTTAGTGGGGACATAGAGGAGTGGTTTGTTCCTCTCCGTGCGCTGTTGTACGTGGTGTTCCCTTGGGAGGAAGAAGAGAGGGGATGGCAGTTGACTACATTTACATGGCTGTTACTTCTATATGATTTCCATGATAGGATTCAGTGAAATCATGCAATCTGAGCAGCTGGGAATGAGCAGCGTGACCACTGGAGCAGGTATTGGTGCTGGCTGAGGAGGTGATAGGGGCTGCATTGACCCGAGCTTCATCACACACCAGCATGAACTACATCTCCACAAACAAGAAACCCCCAGTGCCCATCCCTCTACTGAGGCACCAGAACCCCTGATGCAGCAGTCCTGACCTTGGGGAAAAATTAAACCAGTAGCTTGCGCTTAAGCTCATCTTTAGAGGATAAGTCTGCTGAGGAGTAAATATTCCCAGCTGGTCAGATTTAACCTGACCAGACATGTCTTTAACACCTTTCAAGACTATCTCCTAGATATAAAGATTTCTAGATCCAAAATCCACCCCACATTGACACTGCTTAAATCCTTATAGTCTTTTTGCAGCTCCTGATTTTCCGCTGTCATTGCCACCAGGAAGAGAGGCTCAACTTCCAAAACTGGTTGAAGGGCACAAAGAGTCCGAGTGCCCCCAGGTTTGACCAGTGTTTCTGTGATGAAAACATCCCTCATCTCGGGAAATATCACCAGTAACCTCAGTGAGAAGAGGGAATGAGGCTGATATAGAGGGATTTAATCCATGTCAGCAGTCTGCATAAATCAGTTTACACACTGGAGCAGCCCTGTCACTTACACAGGGTAAGGATATGTTTGCAGTAAGGCAGAAACAGCACCATCTGCACAGGAAATATCTGTGACTAAGGGGATTCTTTCATGTAAGTACTAGAGGGACATAAACTTTATCATCACAAAAAGAGCCAAATTCAACTCACCTTATCATACATCCTGTTCAGCAGCCGCGGCACGACAGGGAAGATGGTCGGACGCAACGCTTTCATGTCGTCAGATAAGAGGCGAATATCGCCTTGAAAGAACCCGATGCGCCCTCCATGGCAGTATACTACAGACTGGTGGGAGGGAAAGGAGCACATGTCACCTCCCTGCTTTTAATTCCCATGGCAGAGCAGCCCCCCAAGCACAGAAATGCCTTTCCTAAAATCCTACTTTCCAACATGGCAAAAAACGGGGCTTCAGAAATACATACAAAAGTAACAGTAAATTTTGCAGTGAATGGAAATATCTGGATATTTCTGGGCACTTTTCAGTACTGGCAATTCAGCATCCACCAAATTTGCCACTGGTTCTGGAAGAACGGGGAACCAAAGCTGGTTCGGAAGGGATTTCCTTTCATCCCCTGCATACGGGGATGGAGAAGTCTGAGTTATGGTCAGATTCTGGATCTGAACTTCTCCTTTACGCCCAGACCTACCGCAGCAGCTCACAGCATGAGGACCTACTGTCAATAAAGAAATGGATATTAAGAAACATTCTAAAACACTGAGCAGCAGCCGGGTTTTAGATGTTAATACTTTAGTCTTGTTTAAATACAACAATATAGACTACGTTAGCAGTACAGTGCCTGATCCTGTATCCCAGAAATAGAAGCCCACTTCATAAAAGGTGCTCAACTTGTATGGAAACAATAGATCCAGAAGGTTTTGTGCCTGGAAAGCAGACAGGCCACTTTCATCGGATCGGAATAGAGCTGGATGTGTGGGATCAGGTGCAAGGAGCTCTGGTCATCTGTGACCCCACAGATGCCTGAGAACATCAGCTCACTTTGGTGCGCTTGTCTTCCCCATATAACTAAACCAGCTTAAAATTCCTTAAGACACACCTAAGTCATTTTGTGCTATTCCTAAATATCCCTAACACTAACCAGAGAGCTCTGCCAACGGTTAGGGAGAGTCTCCATCAACTGAAACCACAGGAATTTCACACATGTGGTGTGGTTGATGACCAGCACGCTGCTGCACCTGTGTTGCCTGCTGCACATGCACAGGAATTGAAAAAAGGAAAGTATAACCAGTGGGAATTATAAATAGCTGCTAGAAATTTCCTGCTTTAGAGAATGTACGTATGTAATTTTCACTGTAAGTTCCAGGAACTAATTATGTTGGGTAAAACTGGGGAAGCTGCAAAGTGCTGCTGTTCCGAATGCTTTTGAAAATGACTTTTTAGCCCTTTGGGGAAAAATCTTCATTATCAATGAGCTTTTTTAACAGGGAGGATAAACCTGAATATCCTCCAGGCCCGTTTCAATACAGCAACATCCTGTGAAACAAGGTGATTTCAGATGTTCTGATGGCTTTTTCTCCCTCAGCAGATGACTTTTGAATGGTTATATTCTTGTTTGCCCCCATGGTGGTGGCACACTGACCAGCCTGCCTTGCAAGGGAAGAAAGGCTGTGCTGTGATTCTCCAAACCTTTAATGGACTTTCACTTCCAATCTGAAAGTTTGTTAACAGGGCAGAACATGTTACTTCTGGCACAGATGTTACTGAGAAGCGGGGATTACACTCAGGTGCTTGTCTGGCTCAGCAGCAGTCCTCCCTGAGAAAGCACAGAGCTGCAACTGAGTCCAGATCCAGTCTTCACTTACTGGATCAGGTTTTAGTTTGCAGCTTCTCAGGCCAGGAGAACTGGTGTGATCATCTCATCGATGTGCCTGACGCCCCCACTACAGCACAAACCTTCACCTGGCTTTTGAGGAGATGTGAGAAGTCAGTTCTCAGGCTGGCCTGAGTCAGCACTTCTGTTTGCCATTGTTTCCAGGGGACACTGACCAGCTAATGCCACTGAACACTGCCCTGCCAGGAGGGTCACGTCTGGCACACCACGATCTTGGTTTCCTCTTTTTCAGTGTCTGTAAGTTTTGTGCAGAGCTGGTTATTTATGCAATAAAAGGGTTTTAGCTGATGTAGAAAATGGCACAAAATTATCCTTTTTGCTCCCCTGATGCCTCATCCTAAAGTGCTCCGAAAAGCTGCCCCCCGGATTGTGCAGGTAGCAGTTTCTGCTCGTGGACAAAGAGCTGGTTTCCAACCTCAGAGCCACCGGTGTAAGCTGGAGAGCTTGGGAAGATCTCCTGGAATCACCCTGGACTCATGGCCATGTCACTGAGACCAGAGACGGGGCCCTGGTGTTACGCATGTGGCACTTCTGGAGTACAAGCTTTTTAGTGCTACAAGATATCGCTGGTTATTTAGTATTTTATTCATTTTATAGGGTTTTTTCATGTGGAAAAGGGTGATTTCCACTGACACCAGGACCTTACCTGTACCATTCTCTCAAACATGTGTGCTAAAGGCAAATACGAAATGTGTACATCCTCACAAGTAGGAGACCACTGACTCTGGAAGAAAACACAAGGAGCCCCACGAGGCCTCGTCAGTTCAGGCAAGTTTCTTACCTGTATAACTCGTTCAAACATGTGAGCCAGAGGCAGGAAGGAGATGAGCACATCGTCCTGTCTCGGAAAGATCACTTTCTGCAGGTGAAGGGCATGGGAGACAGAAAGGAAAGAAACACTGACAGGAAGACAACAAGAAAGTCATAAAACAATAAAAAGAAAAATGGCACCAGAGGAGCAAAAGGGTAAAGACTGTCAAGAAAGGAAGGGAGCAGCGTACAAAGTGAAGCGTTAAGCCACAGTGTCAATGAAGCTCGGTTAGCAGGAGAAGTAAAGAGCACGGAGATGCACACAGAGGCCAGTGGAGAGGTCTCTCCATGGCAGAAGGCTTATTGTATCCACACAGCTCACGCTGGAAGCAGAGGCTCACCCTGACAGAGAATCCCATTTTTATCCATTGCTTTCTACCAGGAGGTGCCGAGACCAGGATTCGCGCCCTCAGCTCTGCGCAGACCCACAGGATCCTGGTGTAAACCTGCAGGAGCCTCCCAGGAATCCGCAGGGCTCTGCAGAGCATCCCTTTTCCACATTGCGCAGAGCCCAGTGGAGATCACAGTGTTACTAGAGTCAAAGCTATTGATTTTTTGTCCTTCTCCTTTGGTTAATCATTGGTTTGAATCAGAAAAATTAATGATTGTTTTTCAGCTGCAAAAATTAATGACTTCTGTTAGTGTTTCTTGTCATTTGAAGTGATTAAAATGGAATTTTAAGGGCATTGTCAGTGCCCCACAGACAGGCGCAGTGGGGAAAAGAAGCTGGACAAATTACGCCAAAAATAAAGTGACCAAAGTCTTCAGTTTGCCAAGGTTTTAACTCCGTCTCACAGGCTGGAACAAACACAGGCCGTGGGAGCCTTACTCAACCCATGCCCTACCTGCTTTACTACCTGCCTTTCCAAGGGTAAGGCTTGCTCTGATATTACAGATAAGAAAACCTGAAAGCTTGATTACCCAGTAACTTGCCCTGAGGCCAGTGGTTAGAGGAAAATGGGTACAAAATCTATTAGCTCACAGTATTAGCAGTTTATACCCACTTTGCATCTCCACTGCTGTGATGGAATGGATAGCCTTTGACCTGGGACACAGCGGTGGGTGAAGGCACACGAGATTCTTCCTTAGGGAATATTTCATTGGAGTTACAGCTGGGCAAGTCAAACTGGGGATGTTCTCCCACCCTTTACCTACTGAAGTCAAACACAATTGACCATGTGGGTGTTCTCAGCATCCCATTTCACATTATTTCCTGTGTCAGCCTGAATTAAGCCATTAGGGGCTGCAGAGCTGTTTATACATTATTTCACATTGGCCTCGTTTTCTGCAAGCACAGGCATGTAAACCCATTAGCATCTCCAGCTATTCTGCTTTCGTTTCTAACACTGCTTTGAGTGCCCAGATAATAAATGGTTTTGTTTTAAATCAGGCCAAAGTGATGACATTGAATAGTGTCTTGAAGCTGGCACAGTTGTCCAGTTAAATGCAAAACAAAACCAGCTTCTTAGCATCTGAGAACAACCTTATAAAAGCTTTAGGGTCACTTCAAAAACTGTTCTCTTGATCAAAATCCCTGAACTAAGCAAAACTGGCACAAGAGAATGCGAGCAGCAGATCTGCAGCGCTCCTCAGCTTTAGGTATCTTTATTCTGGTAATTTATACTACTTCTGCTGCACTTTGCTCGACTGCATTTCTGAGGTTAGGCATTTGCCCTACTCGTGTGGGTCAGCTACAGGCATTTACGCTCCCACCAACAATACTCTGGTGACTGCCACTTGAATTTACAACCACTTACTCCAGACTTACATCTCTATCTGATACCTTCACGATTAATCAGAGTCCCATTGCCACCAGTGAACACTAAATCCATTTCTATGTCCTGGAAGATGCGAAGTTGCCTTAGCTCCCTCAAACCAGTTCCTTCCCAGCATAAATGCTCCTGCCCTTTGAAGCTCGGACCTATCTATGCACCAGCTTTCATTTGGGCATCTCGCTGCCTCTGAAGCCAATGATAGCTCCGTGCTGTGAAGCCCCAGGGTTGGCTGCGGCAAGTTGTTGGCATTTCATACTGGGAATTACTGGAGTCACAACACTGCAAATACTCCAACGTGTGAGTTCAGTGGGACTCCTCACACCCTGTGTCCGAGTTTCCTTACAACACAGGGCTGGAAGTCTCAGAAAGTTCAAGGGTTAAGATAACCAGACTGCAGTATTTTCACTAGCAACAGTAGGACCAGCAGGGGCTATAAGGTGACAAATTGTGCACCCGTGTGTACATCACTGCTTTATGGAATTGCCTGCTTACTACAAAAAATAGATTCCTTTATGGAATTGCCTGCTTACTACAAAAAATAGATTCCTTATGTTTGTTAGGTCCTTAATACGTTGTGCTGAAGCACTTCTGCTTCCCGTATCATTTCTAAACACAAGCTTACACATTGCATGAAACATTACACAGATACTTGGCCAGTGCTACGCTTTTTTAAAAACACGTATGACAGAACCTAAAATATACTTTGATATCAATGAAATTAGCCATTCTTGTAAAAAACATATATTCTTATACATATATATGCACTTCATAAGCAGAGAGCTTGAGGTAAGTGAGTACATTGTGTGGGCACACTGGGACACAAAGAGCACAAGTGGACTTTGTCAAGCACCACTTGCAACTGTAAGGAGCTTGTTTGCTCTCCTTGTTCTTCAAAAGGAGTTAATGAATTGATTTACAGGAGCCAGTGTTGCTCTTCAGAACCGCTTTGTGTCCTACAGAGCCAGGGAGCCGGTGCTGGGAAGGGGATTTAATGCCCTGCAGTGCTCTAAGCTCAGATTCGCTCCCATTTCCATGGATTTGGCCTTCCGAGTAAGAGAAATTTCACCTCCTTACTGCAAAGGCCCATTTCCAGCCCATGCAGGACACAGCTCAACCCGCCCCCCGGCCCGGGGCAGCACTTTCTAGAGCAGGGTATTCACCTCTGTCACTTTCAGAAAGCCCGAAAAGTCCGCGACCACGTTCCCATGGGTCAGCATGGCACCTTTGGGGTTCCCTGCAGGAAACAGAGAGAGATTTGGCAGGTGAGCAGCAGGGAACTTCCAAAACCTCAACAAACCCCACAACGCGAATGGATAAACCGTTAAATTCTGCATTGTAAAACGTCACTTTCTCAGCCGTTTCTGTGCAGTGACCTGCACCAACAGCACTTACTGCAGTACACAAAGGGTAATAAAATGATACTATAAGCACAAATATTTCTATTGGAGACTCTGAACAACACTTTCCACCAGAAACAACCCAACTGCAATGTGCGAGAGCACTCGGATGGCGCAGTTTGATGAGCATGGCCGTCAGACCTGGCTGACTGCTCACAGCCTCCCAAACAGGGTTTATGTCATACAGATGTTGACTAAGAATGATCTTCAATACCAAGAAACCCCATTGAAAGAGCTGACAAGCTCTTACTTACCCAGTGTGCTGGATATCCTGAACAATGCAGAAAACAGGTAATACATGGCAAAAATTAGGCTACAAGAAGACTCTGTGAGACTGTGCTTAAAGGAAATCAGTAATGCTGCCAGCAGCACAGCAGAAGCGGAGACAGCACTGACTGCATCAGGGAGCCGTGTTCTATCCCGGTGCTGGGCACTGCCCTGCAGTGTTTCACCTCCACACTGTCAGTATTTGCTTTTTCACCCTCTTCTCTCTCTTTTGCATTTCCTATCTGTTCACACACTGAAATACGGGGTTTGTTAAGCAGTGAACACACAGGCTGCAACCGCTGGGCGCGCAAACCAAAGCCGAGGGCTCCATCCAGAGCTCCCTGCCCGCAGCGCTGGCCCAGAGCACTCTGCACATCCTCCTGCCACAGCACCGTCCCTTTCCATCACCCTTGGAGGGTTTATTGCTGAAAAGAAGGTGCAGGTCAGCTCAAATCAAGATTATGGAGCCAGCCTCCCTCTCCCCAGCGTGCTTTTAAGCAGATTGGTTTAATTCAATCTCAGCACTGCAGCGAGGCTCCTGCTATGCCATGCGGAAGCTGATCGGAGGAGCTTTGCCTGTAGGTACCTTGCACGGCCCCAGCACAGGGATACCCCAGGAGCTCTGCAGTGCTGTTACAGCTGATGATGGATGCAGCCACCTCACAAAACTATAAACCAGCAAAGATTTCACTCTGGTTTCCTCCGATTAGGAAGGGGCAACGGTGTTTTGTGAGTTGGTTTCAGCACAGGAAGATATTCTTCATCTCCTTGGTTTGGGGTCAGTTTGTACCTACGTGGCACAGCCCAGCTTGGTGCTGAGTCCTGTGCCCTGACAGTTCCCTGCCAGCGCCTCCACTCAGCTTCACCAATAGCTAAATAAAGGCCCAAGCAGAAGTAGTCATTATTGGAGGCATTTATTGCACTAAATCAGGACGTTTTGTACACAGTGTTTTTTACTGAAAACCCACACTTGGTGTCCCAAGTGCCTTTGAGTAACTTGGTCCCAAATACTTGCAGATGGACAGGGTGCACAGGGGATGCTTTGGTGTTGTGCTCGTCCTCCTCCAAAGCTCAGAGGTGAAGCTGGGGCTGACATCTTTGCCATGTTGATGCTACATTGGGCTCCTGCCCCAACCTATTGTACCTCATGCTTGTGGCACCAGCTCAGCCAGGCAGGTTTCGTTTCCAGGCGCTTATTTTCACAGCTGGGTGCACCTGTGGATCCAGACCAAAGGAAAACTCCAGGAACCAATATTGGTTGGTGCAGAAATCACTTGTGTTATTTGTATGTAGCCAAACAAGCATGCTCAGCCCTGGCAACTCTATACGTAGCTGTATTCCCACAGCGTTGCACAAGTTCCTCCACGTTGGCATCAGCAGGTCACACATCAGGGGAGAGGGTTGGTTTGGAAGTTCAAAACTGTGCCCTCCAGCTATACCAATGGCAGATCTTGCTCCTGCACCTTGGCACAGCTCTGCAGCCACCTTCTGGAAGATTACACAGAATCCCAGCCTGGTTTGTGTTGGAAGGGACCCTAAAGCTCCTCCAGCCCCAACCCCTGCCCCGGGCAGGGACACCTTCCACTAGAGCAGGTTGCTCCAAGCCCCTGTGTCCAACCTGGCCTTGAACACTGCCAGGGATGGGGCAGCCACAGCTTCCCAGATGCTTTGAGCTCAGACTCATGTATCAGCCCACCTCTACACTGCTGCTGTGATTTGGCATCATTAACACTGGAGCCTGTCTAGGATGCTGAACCTGCTGCAGACAGGACACAGGAAGGATCCAGGATGTTCACACTGCTCCAGGCGTGTCATGGTGATCTGAGCAGAGGTACTGAACTTGCATCAAAGACAGAGGTGTCCAGAACAAACCATGCTCCCATGGGAGCTGCAGCTTTTTGAGCTGGCGGGCTCCTGTAAATTTTGACCTTCTTTAGTAGTTGTAAGAGCAACCAGCAAAACAGATGCTCCTTGCTACGAGCCCCTTCCCAGAACTAACACTTCAAGATTAAAAAGTTGGCAGTGAAACTGCTTTTCCTTTAAAAAAAATCAATGCCAGACCTGCAACACTGCTCTCAAGCTTGAATACCCTCATCCAGACACTCATTGTGAGTATCCCGTTACGGAACAGGGTCAGTTAGAAGCCTGGGCATGGCAATTTCTCCCTGTCTTGGTGCCAGGCTGGTTTGGCAGCTCTCATAAGCAAGGGAAGAACCTTTTCCATGTTGCTAAAGGCGTCTTTCAAGCAGTAGCTCCAGCACTGACTCAGTGGTGTGATCCATCAGCATTTTGGGATGCAAGCGCTCCTCTCCCCCAGCAGTCAGGGTTATGCACTGACAGGCTGTGAGAAAGTGCTGGGAAGCAATTTGTATCCAATGGCTTAGAGGTGGATCCTTAAGGAAATGTCACTTTGCTTCTTTGATGGTGTGGGGGCATCTGTGTGCCTCTGGCCCATTTCTGAGTGCTGATGAGTCCTTGGTGCCGCAATGAAAGATGCTCATCATCTGAGCTCAGCAACCTCAGGGCAGGCATTGGGCATCTGATCCTATCAAAGAAAAGCACACGTTAAAGTCCACTTCTGGTGGGTTTTTTATAAACAGCTAAATTTATTTCCCATTCTACAATTTCCAGGTTACAAACTCTACAAGTAAGGTTTGATTCACACCATACAAGAATATATGGAGCCCTTCAGAATTGAAAACGGCCTTGAGAACATATCCACTGGAAGAATAGCCTAAATCTGGTCATTCAAAATAGCCTGGTGGGGGGCTGTATAAAAAACCAAGCCTTTTACACCAAAACTCAACATGGAAACCAGATCAGAGTGGTGTTGCAACCCCTGGAAAAGGCAGAAAGTGATGTGCAAAGTCCTCCAGCAGCAGAGGCTGGGCTGGTGGTTCACAAAGCATTGCTCTGTGAGAGCTTTGTCAGCAGATGATTTCCAGAACATGAAATCTCTGGTTTGGATGGGAGAAAGCAAAGAAAAAAGAAAAAAAACCCCGTCTCTAGTCAGAATGTCTTATTTAGAAATACAAATATTAACAAAAAAGTGACTCGAAAAGAAATCCTTGCTCTGCCCTTTAAATCCCACACAAACACATGGTGCCCCACTGCGCCTGCAGGCACAGCTCCTTGGGATTCCTGCCATTCCCGTTTGTGCCCAGCCACTTTGCACTAGCAGAGCCAGTGCTCCCAGCACACAGGCTGGGATGTCTGTATCCTGCACTGGGATCAGTCTTTGCCTTTAGGGATTCCCTGTGCTGAGACGGAGCAGAGCTTAGGCTCCTTTCTCACAGTGCACTGCCTTGGGGTACCCTGCGGCGCCCAGACCTCAAAACTAAGAACAAAGGCAAAACCCCCAAAGCCTTTTAATACATTTTGAGTTTGTACTTGGAGCTGATAAAGCAGTTGCCCACCTGAGCTGCAGTGCAGGTCTTCTCCAGGAGGTGGAAGATGAAGATGTCCCCTCTTGCCCAGCCCCATCTGCAGCCTTTGCTGTCCGCAGGCTGAGCAGCACAAGCAGCTCCCATCCTGGAGGGCAGCTTGGTGCCAGGCAGCACCTCCTGCTTGCCTAAATCAGTGGAGGCCAAATCGAGGATGCTTTAGGGCTAGGACCAAGCATTAGGCAACACCACGATCATCGGTGAACCTCAAGAGCTTGGTCTTTTTCTGCAGGTAAGTTCTCAAGAGCAGGAAATTCCTGCAAGCTGTATGAAAACCAGGAGAGAGGGGAAGGTGCTGTGTCTGCTGAGAACAGGCAGCGAAATGATGCTGCTCCTCTCCAAGAAAAAGGGGCCAGTGGCTCATGAGTACCAGCAGCGTGGTGCCCCATGGCCCAACACACCAGCAACCGGGGCTGGGGACATTGGTGTGCTCAGGATACAGAGAATGAAACATGCACGGATTTCCAGACCACTGGAAAATGGTTTTGCCAAAGTGTGTGTCATGGAATGCAAGTGAAAAATAAATATACCAGTGTTAGTAATTTGCAGCCTACAGACACGCATACACACATATATCCTTAAACATTAAAAATGCATGGAAATATCATTGCCGTATCAGCATAACATCAAGTTTGCACATATTAAAGTGGTATTAATAATTCATTTGATAATCCAGTCTAACATTTTGATATTAAAATGTCTCTTCTTTTACCTGTGGTGCCACTAGTAAAACAGACAATTGAGAGGTCTTCTGGTCGAGGAGGCTGGAAATGCACAAGGAGAATAAGGAAATCACATCAGTAAAATGCAGACAGGTCAATGGTAGACTGTTGTCATTGTATAAACTTAAAGATCGAACCAATTCTATTTCAATACTGCCATAAAAAGCTCTCCTTCCCCTTGGCAAATATAAAAGACCATCATAATAGTCTCTTTATCAGATTCTTCAGCTGAGGCAGGCTCTATTCCTCCCTTACGTTTTGCCCCAGCGGCACAAAGGGCGTGCTTTAATGTAAGAGGACTTTGATGGAATCTTCGTCTTGCAGTTTGGGTTTTCAAAGACAGCATCTACACCTGTAGGCGTGTGGGAAAACCTGAGGGAATTTACTCATTTCCTGATGAATGCTGGAGACGTGGCTATGCTCAGCAGGAGACAACCTCCTGAAGCTCCCGTTTCCAGGAGTGTCTCCGTGTTCCCAGTGCCACACGTGTGTGCTGTGGTTACGGGTGACTAAGTGAGCAGCCTGGAAATCACTTGTGTGTGACTATGAGGAGCCAGTGAAAAATATCGATGTTATTTCCCACCGATATCCCAGAGCAATGCTCCGAGTAGTGCTTCCGAGCTATAGAAACCCCACGGGAAAGCCAAGGGTGCAAAACCCCCAGTGCCACCTGGGTAAGGTAGCGGAATGAGTTTGGCTCAACAATGGCATTTAATTACTGTCTCATTAAGATGTCTAGCAAGGATGAACTGTCTCAGTTAAGTGAGGAGGGTAGGAAGCAAATACTGCACGTCCCAGAGTAGGTGGCAGATGCACCATCCCTGGAGACATTCAAGGCCAGGCTGGATGTGGTTCTGAGCAACCTGATCTAGTTGAAGATGTCCTTGCTCATTGCAGGGCAGTTGGACTAGATGAGCTTTGAAGGTCCCTTCCAACCCGAACCATTCTATGGTTCTGTGATCCCAGCTGATGGCACTGACAGTCTGGAGCAAACCCTTCCCTCCTGGGGCAACGAAATAAATGTAAGAGCCAGCTGCAGTTGTAAGTGGGAGAAGCAGCACATCAACACTCACCACAGGCACATGACGACTCATACGGCCACAGTCCTGAAAGAGATTAAAGCAACAAAGATGATTTCTACTTCAATTCCTGTGGTGTAACCCACTTGCTAATAACCCGCAAGTCACTAAGGGGGAGTGTGAGCTCCAGCAGAAATGTTTGTGGCTAATGGTTAAGCCATCTTCTCTATCAAAAGTTTCTTGCATTAACTGCAATGTCATCCTTGGTTTTCAAACAGAGCTTGGGCTCCTTGAGCCGGATTCACACTGTTCCATCAGTGTAAGGCTGTAATTACATGTAGGACAGTGTCTTGAACAGCAACCCCCCTTCCCAGGCTTAAATAGCAGCTGATACCTTCTGTGAGCAGGAAGGTTCGAAACGTTGGCTCTTCTATCAACAAGGAATAACACCAAGAGGCAACTGCACTGAGAATCAGTATCATCAGGCACAGGCTGCTCTTTTGTGCTCTCCAGACACTGAACACACCACACAGCTCACAAATCCCTGGTTATTTTACTGGGTTTTTACAGAAACCACAAAATAGAGTAAAAGGAGAGGGAGAGCAAACTTACCTCCACCTCCTGCATGGTCTGGATGCGAACTCCACAACGCCTCCCTCTCTCCGTCAGCTCCTTCTCAAATGGGTCCATCAGGATGATGGAGCTCAGCCCTGGTGTTTCTCTCCTCTCCACGTGGTCCAGGAGTGTTCTGGCTTTTTCAGGTTTGTCACAAATGACTGTGGAGATGTCAGCTGGAAGAAACCCACCCAAACAAGCTGTTCACAGTACGTGTTTCCTGGTGCTGGCTCCCAGCATTGTGCCAGTTCTGATATTCACTTCGGGAATCCCAGAATACAACAAACATTTCTCTTAGGAAATCACTGCAATTTCCGCTGATCTAAATCAGTGCCAGAGCTGTAGCTGACATCTACAGTTGTTCTGGGATCCAGTTCAAAATGCTAAAATCGCTCACCACATGGGCTAAAATAATCTGTGAGGCACAATGTAAAGCAGCACAGGAGTGGGTGGCCGTGGAGTAATTCTCACAGCGACAGCAGCCTCACCACCACTGTGCGTGACTGGGAAACGCAGCAGAGGCAGCCCTGACCCACCACGGGGACACACAGCTCCCCAGGAACCTCTCTAAGTGACTTCAGGACAATGAGTAAACTCGCCTGGCTTGTGGAAGGCAAACAAAATGAACCATTCTGAGCAGCAAAGCTGATTTCTGAGGTTACATCAATTCTGCTCTTACCTGTGTTGACGATGTAACGAATGGCTCCTGGACCTAAGGTGTCATAGAGGGGAACCACCACCATGGAGTAGGTGTAGCAAGCCAGCTCGGAAATGATCCACTGCAGGAGGACAATCAGAGTGTGAAGGTGAGAAGGGGGCCATGGGAGCAGATTTAACCCACTGAGAACAATCTTCAAGCACAAAGCAAGCTCACAAGCCAGGAACATTAGTAATATAGCATCAGTTGAACTTAAAAGTCTCACCTCGGGGCGGTTTTGAGCAAAGACCCCAATGAACTGCTTTGTGCATGGCTTGCAGCCCTGCTGAATAAGGCCTGAACCCAGAGCTTCTGCTCTTTCAGCCACCTGGAATGTGAGGAGAACAAAACACATAAAAAAGATGAATATCAGCAGTATCAGACTAAGTGGAGACTGAGCTCTCAGATTCTCACATTTGCTATCTAAAAGCCCATTGCTTTACATTATCATGAGCCATCAGCAGCTGACTGGCAGTTGACCTCTGGCTGGCAGTGCCCCACGGGTTTGGAGCACGTCAGTGCCACTGTCAAGAGTGGGCTAATGGCAGTGAGCTGGTCCCTGAGTGCCAGCACACGTGTGTAACACCAGGATGTGCCTGGCTGGAGAAACAGAACCCTCACAGAGCACATCAGCAACCTCCCGCTCCGGTGCATGCAAAACCAACCACCTGGAGAGGGACTTCTGACAAGGGACAGGACAAGGGGAATGGCTTTAACCTGCCAGAGGGGAGATTGAGATGAGCTCTGGGGCAGAAGCTCTTCCCTGGGAGGGTGCTGAGGCGCTGGCACAGGGTGCCCAGAGAAGCTGTGGCTGCCCCATCCCTGGCAGTGTTCAAGGCCAGGTTGGACACAGGGGCTTGGAGCAACCTGCTCTAGTGGAAGGTGTCCCTGCCCGGGGCAGGGGTTGGAGCTGGAGGAGCTTTAAGGTCCCTTCAACCCAAACCATTCCATGGTTCCATGATTTCCTGCTCACCTCCTTGTAGGACAGCCACTGGTAGGGCTGCTTGGGCTTCCTGAAACCCAGGCAGGGGCCGTTTTCTGGAAGACACAAACAGAGATGATGGAGTCACAGGGGCAGTGACAGGCATTAAGGTGCTGCCCAGAACCAGGCTGCAGGGATGCAGAGGAGCCCTAAAGAATGAATCCATTTCTATCAGGATTGGCTTTTGCTCCTGGAGCAGAGAATGCAGGAAGCCTGAGGAGCTCACAACACATGAGTGCAGCTAACAGAGACTGCCTGCTGGGATCTCCCAGTCACTTCAATCCTCCTCCCTGAGCTGCAGTGGGGACAGCAGCAGTTTGTCCCCATCAGCCTCATTAAAAGACACTTCTCCGAAGGCAGTGTGAGCATTCGTGTCTGCCACGGGCTTTCATCCCAAACAGCAGCTCCCACTGCTTTCGCTGCTTTTTGATTTAAGCAGTTCACAGTGAAAACTGCTATTTTTAGCCCAGCCTGCTCTGGAGGAGAGGAAAACAAAACACAGCACTATGTCACTGGAGGAATATTGGGAGCGTTTAATTCCTTTGCTAACTGTGCTTACCTGCACAAGATCCATCCCTCCAAACACCTCCCGAGTTATTTGTCTGCGGGGTGGAATATTTGCGATTCCACTGAGGCTTTTGGTGGTACCAAAAATAACGTGACAGTGAAATGGTTGTGTTCAACAAGGAGGACATCACAAGCAGCAGACACAGAAATAGTTATGACAGAGGAGGGAAGAGCCATCGTGGCTTTTTAGAGTGGGAAATGTCTCACAAGTGCGTAAGAGCTCTTTGATGATAACATCGATCGTGGGTTAAGGGTGATGGACTGATACACCATGCTCGGCTTTCCTAAGAGCTTCTGGCAGAGCCCCTTCCCCTGCCCTGTTGTGGGGTATGAGGTTAGGAGCTGTCTGAGTAACTGATAAAAAGGCAGCAGCAAGGAGAAATAACCATCAGTATCTGCAGCGGAGGAAGAGCTCTGTTGGGTTCCACAGTTTTACACCCGGATCAGCCCCATGTAATGTATTCACAAACACTCCAGAACTGAATAATGTATGATGAGCTCTGCTGACACTGCAAAATTCAGGACATTAAGGTATCTGCCAGTGGCAGCAAAGAGATCTTCTGGTACCAAGAGATTGCACAGTAAAATTCAATGGCATTAAGGGCAAATTAATGCATGTTGCAAATAAGAACCCTAATCCCACATGTAATAGTCTTATATAGTTTCTGGGCCTCCCAAACCCTCTTAGGCTCTACACCCTCTGGGCTTCTGCACTTTATTGTCCTCCCATACTCTTTTAGCCCCCCTTTATCCTTAGCAATCGTATCTCCTTCAGCTTCCAACTCTTGTTTCTGCACTCTTTGTCCCTACTGTACCCTTGTGGACTCAAACACTTTTTCAGCCTCTCCACTATTTGTGCCTCCTCCGTTCTTTCAGCCTCTACAATTGACTTCTACAGTTCTGTGGTTCCCACATTCTGGTGGCTTCCTATTCCTTTTTGGGTCTCCCATGCAAATTCAGCCTTTTAAGTCCGAATGGACATCTAACACCATTGGTGTCTCCCACACTTGTATGGGCTCCTGCGCTCTCAGCCTCTAGAGCCGCACTCTCTAAGCTTCCCTAAGCCTTTGAGCCTCCCCCACCATTTGGACCTCTGCATCATCTGGTCTTCCACCTATCCCCTCCTCTGCTCCCAGTCCTCTTCATCACTGTGCTCTCACCGGAGATGCTGAATCCCCTCCTGAAGACCTCATACATGGTCCTGGCGTCATCGTAGTAGTGCGTCAGCAGCTGCGGGCTGTCCCCGATCACCGACCGACGTGCCCCATCCAGGCCCTGTGTGACATGACGTGACAGGATGTGAGACACACACCAGCACCACCCAACGGGCAGGAGATGGGGAAACCAGAAAGCAGGATGCTCCCCCGATGCCATATTCTAGCCCCAACACCCAAAGGGATGGGAGAAGTGGGATGTCCACCTTGACACCCCAGTATCATGGAGAACCACCTGTCTGGAGTGGAGATCTTGACCCAGACAGGAGATGATTGGTATTTCCCAAGGAGATTTGAGGAGGAATTGCGAACCTACAAGTAACAGAGCAGGGATGTGCTGTAGGGAGGAACTGCTCTGGGATCCACAGGTGCCCAGGGCTGGCACCACAGGCACCTTCTCAAGGACATCTAGTCCAAGAGGAAGGAGAGTCTAAAGCAGAGGCCAGGCTGCAGACCCCAGTGCACAGGTTCAATAGGGGTGTTTTAGGGCGGGCAGGTTGAGAGGGACCAGACTGGAACTGTCCTGTGAACCAGAAGAAGTCTCACTACACTAAAGCCCTAAACACAGGGGAAAACTGTCTTGGAAAGTGTAAATACCTCCCATCCTTTTGAAACATTGTTGGAATTACAGACAGTGATGTTTTAGAGGGGACATCAAAAAAAGCTTTAAAAATTCCCATCACACTTTTGGATACTTATTTAAATGGAACCATTTTTCAGAAATATTTCTGCTCTTTAAACCAGAGCAGCTCCATTAAACTTTAAAACCCTTTGCAGGCATGGAAATTAATAACTCCTCAGGCTCTGAGCATGGGTTCAGGTCTCCTGCTTGTTGTTATATGAAGTTTGCAGCAGCAAACTCAGCAGTGGGCGCACAGAAGTGCCAGCTGATTTGATCTCATCAGTGGTTGCCTTTCAGTGGTCTCTCCCATGTAGTGGCAGCTCCTGTAACTTTTGGTCACGGGTGGTTAAGCAAAGCTAAGACCAAAATGTTGCTGGAAGTCCAAGAGAATAGATTAATGGGCTGTGTTCTGGTTTTCCAGTTTACAGGAAAAGATGAATTAAGAAGCAGAGCAACCCCTGGCATAGTGCACTGCATGTCTGATGGTGGGCAGTGCTGCCTGGGTTCAAACTTAAACAGGGGAGATTCAGG